TTCCTGTTGGCTGCAGAGGATTGAGACTAGATGAAAAGGCAAGGGAGGGGATGCAGACTTTCATCATCTCCTCAGCTGGGGCTAGGAGGAGAAATGAAAAACAGTATCAGTATGTGCAATCACATTCCTACTTACACTTGAGCAGTAACCCTTCCTTTCATCTCTAAAAGGGTGCCAAGATCGACTGGGAGGCTTTTATTTTGGAAATATATACATTCAGCACTGTGGATGCAAAAAGAGGATGCTGTGTAATGAGAAAAGGGGATAGAGGGTGGTATTTTTTCCAATGGCAGAAAGGAAAACCTTGCTGAGACCTGAGTGGTGACAGGAAGGAAATACCAGCCTGAACATCACATCTGGGGACTGCTCTAAGTTAAACAGCATTCAAAAGCAAAAAACCTCTGATACTAACAATATTAAAGCACATCTTCTGATTATCACAGTTTAAAATTAAAATGATTATTCATTGCAGTTAACATTCAGAGTGATACCAGCACCAGTCAGAGGTTTGCACAAGTATGAGAGGCCAACTTCTCACCCAGGAAAGCCATAGGAGACTGGTCATCTTTGCACCCAAAACAAGCCCCTAACAGCTTTTTGCTCTAACCTGAAGACATACACTAAGAGATGTTTTGGATGACATCCTAAGCCATGGTTTATCTCCCTGAGCTGCTTGAGACACACAGCCTTCTGCAGCCCTACAAACCCACGTCAGCACAGGATGGTTGTCCCACCCAGACACTAACACCTTGACAGTCTTTACCCCAAGGCAGTGAAGGACAAGTATTTCTTGGTGCCAGGATTGGTGCCCAGTGCACTTTAAGGCTCTGCTCTGCCTTCTCACCACCTGCATGCACACTCAAGAAAAATAGAGTCCTTCTTCACCCCAAAAAACAGCAATGACTTTCAGTTATGAGCCTCATTCCTTCTGCATTTGGTCTCCAAGCCAGCAATGGTATTTTTAGATGGATGATGAATAGGTGTCTTGGAGCATTATGCAGTCAAATATAACATAAATTTTTGTGGATTGCAAACATGCATATAAAGAAGTTAGGAAAAATATTCAAAGGTCAAAATGCAGTATCATGGGATTTCTCCACAGCAAAAGCTCTCCCTAATGTTCCTGTCTTTTTTCTATTCAGTTGACTTATTTTTTTCACATCTGAAATGGAAGAAATGAAAGAAATGAACTAGAAATCCAGGAGAATCCCAAAAACTTTCTGAAAAAAACCCAAACTGATCTACTCCCTTTCTCTGCTAGGTCAGGTCTAGAAATACAGGAATATTCAAGGAAAAAAATAGGGAGAATAAAAAGGAAAAAAAAGTCTTGTGAAATATTTTCTCTAAGATTCAACAGTGAAATACTGTCAGGCTACTGTTGAAAATCCTATTATTTTTTGCTGTGCTCCAGTTCTTCCCAATGTTGTCTATACAATAAGCATTTCAAATGAAATTACATTATTTTAAAACACACTAGTAGGCAATTACAATTGCTGCATACTAAATGCCAATATAATATAGACCAGATTTATTGTTGTTCCTTAACTTTCTGCCATGTTCATTATATTTTAATGAATAAGGTTTCACATTAATTTTTTAAACCTTTGCCTTGGAATCACGCGTTACTGCTGTAATTGTGGTGCAGAATTAGGTATCTATTTACATTCTCCTCCTAAATCCTGGAGACAAAACCTCCCTTTTTTTTTCCCCTAAGTCAGCAACATCACCTCTTCTTCCTGTTTTCTGGAGAGAACCCCATGGCCAGTGGCACTGCCTCACCTGGCCACTGCCAGCCAGGCCATGTCCCAGTGAGGACCAGTGCCTGCTGCCTGCTGAGCCTGGAGATGAGAGCAGAAGCACCGGGCAAGCAGGATTTGGCAGGACCTGAGCAGCATCCACGAGTCCAGTTGCACCTGTCTGACTAGGAGGACTCCTCAATGGCAGCATCACCAGATGGTGCTGCCCTCCCCATCTAGTTGTATCTGCCATCCCACCTTTTCCCAATTTTCTCCTACCTTCTGTCACACCTAGGGAGACCCAGATCCGAATGGTCTTTTCTAATACTCTGACAACACATGAAAAAACAAAGGGTGCAGACACACAAGGACCACCATGGGTAGAGCAACTTAAAGATACCACATGATACAAGGCTTTTCACTCTGTGAATCTCTTCTTCACCTAGGACAGACTGTAAAGAAATTAAGAAGATGTCAGCAGAAATACAGGTCTGGGCAGAATACAGGTCTCATTTGCAAGCTGTTGTCTCCCATGGGACAGATCTGATTCCCTGGTCTCAAAGCCTCCAGCAGCTCAGCAGCTGGTCACACTGCTCCATGCAAGGATGCTGGGTAGAACTGAGAGCAGGGGAAACCCTTCCTCTGCATGCAAACACTTGTTAATTCCAGTTGTTCTGTGTACTTACAATACTTAAATTATTCATGTCGATAAACTATAGGAAATCTCATTCAATTAGAATTGCTTTTTAAAGTTTTGGTTTTTTTTTTCCTAAGATGAAATTAAATTGCTTTATTGCAAGATTAGTCTTGCCCTTGTTTTTGTGCTCTTTTAAACAAAACAGAAATTAAATCCTGGCTCTTGGGATATTGCAAGCTGGTGGGAAAATGCAGACACATGCCTGGGGACTACTTCCTCTGCTGGTCCACAAGGCGAGCTTCTGCCCTCATCATCCAATTCTGGTTGTCTTCTCCGCCTCCTCTTCATGATCCTCTTCTCAAGTGCTATCCTCTTAATTCCTCTCATCACCTTTATTCACCCCCTAAAAAGCAGGTGCTTTTCCCTATTCAATCCTTTCCTTGTATCTCCCTTTCTCCATGGAAATTCTTGCCATATCCTTTCTTCTCCACAATGTCCATCCCCCTCACACCACCAGGGCAACAATAAATCCTCTTTTGCCTTCTTCCTTCATGCCTTTATAATCCCCAGGTGTTCCCTCCACCTTCTCCCCACTGCTCTGCATTTCTGCCCCACACTGTGGTTCCCCACCCACCTCCACGGCATAGGTTTTGCTGTGACCTCTGGCTCACAGCCACTGCTGATGCCAGAGACAGACACACAAGCACTGAACAAAGAGCAAACCTACTTGTATCCCCCTCACTGCTACATCTTCCTCCCACTTCATGATTTTTCCTCCAAACTCAGGGGATTTTGCCCACCAGCATGCTGCAGCTCCTTCCACATTTCACAGCTCAGTTTTGAACTCTGCACCGGCACTGCTCCACAGCACAGATTTCTACCCAAATGAGCATATCAAGCCTTGCAAGCTTTGCCAGCTACTGCTCCTCCCACTGCTTCTTCCCTGACATGCATGTGCTTGCAGCAGCCAGGGAGGATCCCTCGAGTTGGCCACAGGGCTTTTTGGAGGGCTACCAGCCTGCTGGATGTGCCAGCCTCTCTGACAGCTGCATCCAACTCCCACTGGCATGCTCTGTTCTTCCAACTGGCCACCCTGAAGAGTGTTTTCCCTGTGTTTGCAGTCAACAGATGTACAGAAAGCAGACTCTACCAACCAAGCATTTGAATCTAAGGTAGGACACTTAGAGGTGATAGAGTTCAAACTGTAAAATGGGATGAAGCGCTCCATCTAAGAAGTCTGGCTTTTTGGGTTGAGTACAAAGGTCAAAAAAAAAATCCAGAATAAAAACCCCACCCATCCTGAAATACGCACAAATTACTTACATATTAAACCCCAACCACATGAACTGTAAGAAAGAGAGCTGTATCATGCATAATTTAGTTGGCACACAGACAGTACTGTTGTGGCTTTCATGCACGTGAAATAAATGAGCATAAATTACTTCATTTGAATAACACCGAACACCTGATTCCAGAGACGGAGCAACACTTCACACTAAGGCTCTTGGCTTGTTGATGCTGCACCAGAGCAAATTAAAATTAGCAAGCTGAAAACAGAAATTCACCTTGTGTCTTGTAGACAAAAATCCTTGGTGCACCCACATAGTTCATGAACAGGAGGAAGCTGAACCATGATGATAGGATGGAGCTAGGGAGGAGACTCCCATTGCTACCGGAAGTGCCAAAAAATGCACACACAATTCGTCAATAAGAACAGCAGTAGGTTGGGTAGCCTATATCTTCATGGATTTGAGTATTTTCAATTTCTCCCCAAAATTTCCTAACAGACTTCAGGAAAAGAATAGTTGATAGTATTTCTCACAAACCTCAGAAAAAAAACCCACTTTTTTGGTCTGAATTATTCTGTTTTCCCATACATAGCTTCCTGTATCTAACTAGACCACAAACATGTGATTGGAATGCTTCTCTCTTAAGAAAAAAGAAGTTTAAATAAAGCACTTCTGGTAATTCTATCTCCATGTCACATAAGGATGCATATGGCCTTTGCCTCCTACCATTTATTAGCGCCAAAAACCAAGTTTTCAAATTTTGACAAGTATCACAGATTCCCGTATTTCTCAAAAATGTCTTTGATTAATAGCAAACAATTATTCTTTCCTCTGGTGCAGGTTGGAGTTGTAGAGCTGGAGAAGGAAAGGCGGGTAAAGGATCTTCTCTAACAGAGGATGAAGTAGATCTGCCTTAAACATGTGACAATATTTCCTTTACTTTTTGCAGCCTTCAGCTTTCTGCCTGCACATCATAAAACAGACATCCCACTGAAATGAGACAGGATACCAATACAAGAGACACTTGCAAATCTGGCCAGGCTGAGAGGTGCTCTCAAGTACAACAGAGGGAAGATGGAATAAAGCATCTTTCACCTTTAAAACTAAGCACAACGTATGCAAACAAGCCACAGGCATTGCCACGAGTCTGCACAACACTTCTTTCCTCCTACAGCTTCATGAACTAGCAATGGAGCATGAACACAGCTAGATCTGCCCAACATCTCCTTCAACATTATGCAGCCCCCTCATCTCTCCTCAGCAGAACTGGAAAATATACCTAACTTTGCTTTACTTCAAGGAAAGAAGTCCAAACACGCTCAACAGCCCGGTACTTACTGAGCTCAGCGATGCTCCCCACGCGCGTGGCAAGCAGAGACTGTTCGATGGTCCTCAGCTCCGACTGGCTGAACATCTGCACCTCCCCAGGCTTGTTTGACCTTTGCTGGTCCTTGTGAAGGTTCAAGCTGTCCGGCAGGCAGAGAACACCTACAGGGGATAAAAAGAAAGGAGAAGCCCGATGTAATTTCAGCTAGTATGGTAACTTTACTGCCACCACCACATCGTTCTGGGGACATTCCAAGACACAGCCTGCATGTGCAGAGCTCAAAGACAACCCACATCTGTAACACAATGTCTCTGATGACTCATGCAGAAGTGGCCCTTGTTAGCCCTTCTGAATATCTTCAAGCTGATTACGATGTCACCTCGGGATAATTCTTACAGAAAAACTTAGGAGGATTGCTCAAGGGGGAGTTCAGGGAAGTTTCAAAGAAGCCTTGGAGAAACTACTCTAAACCTACACAAAATTATTAGAAAATGGTATTCAATGGTATCCCAGAATTCCTAAAGATTGGCCTTCAAATTACATATGAGACAGACATTTACACCTTTTTCCTGCAAGGGGATTTCACTGTCAATTGCCAAAATAAGGGACAGCATCAAGATGCTGTAAGTGTGATGGCTGATTGAATTTCTTTTGTAAATACAGCTTACAGCAATTGAACTGCTTGGGCTCCAAAAGCCCATTATACAGAAGCCCTTAGAGCAGTGAATTTTTATGGTGCAGGGCAAAAGTAAAGCTACTGACACAAAATGATTTACATACACATTCATTCAGGCACAAAAGTCACTTTCTGCCATGACATGTAAACCCTCAGGAATAGATGGAGGGCATCTATTTATTCACCAAAGTCATTGTCATGCTAAAAATCAGAACATATTTACAAGAGCAAACACTGCATTACCAGCCTTGGGCAACAGCTGCATTGGTCCAGCTTGCTCTGTGTATTGGTCCTTCCCAAGCTCTGTGTACAGTCAGCTCCAGCTATGCTTTTCACAGCATCACCTTCCTAATCCCTCTGGGACATATACAGGTGGAGAGCCACTGGAGGCAGTGGAATTGTACCTCTTTATGATGATTAAATATCACCTCATCTCCAAATATTACCTTTGAAAACAAGCTAGAGTAGGAAATGTATTTTTTCCATTAGCTTTTACTACTCCTTCCTTTAATTACAGAGTGTAGGTTCTGCCCTTATAGGCCAAGCAGATTTTGCAAAACCCATTAAGGAAGAGGTACATATTTAATGTTTTTCTTCAAGGGAAGAATTTTCTTAGTTTCCCAGCTCAGTAAATATATGACACCTAACTCTAGTGACCAATAATTCTGTCTGTAGATTGATAGAACTGTCAACTGTTGGAGCACTACAAGATCAGGAAATGTTCCTGAAAGGGGAAGCTTCTCAGACATCTTGTTAGCTTCACCAAACCACCCTGGACTCCCCTCCTCACATCCATCTCCTCCCTGCAACCAATTGAGTCTGCAAGTTATATTTGCAGCACAGACCTAAAAACATCCACCCTGGGAGGAGAGAGGGGACACACGTTCAATGAGCCCATTCCAAAGAAAAAAGCAGGGGTATACCCTGGGAAAACCAAGATCAAAGGTGTTGTCCACCACGGCCTTGAGACAGCAACCTAAACTAGGATCATCCTCTGCACGCAGCAGTGGCACCAGAACAAAATCCCCAATAGCCTGTTTGAATCTTGGAGATGGATGAGCAGGAACAAATGTAACTCCCAGCCCCTGGCCCTGGTCCCAGGCTTGTACAACGACATGAAGGTGTAGAAGGTCATGAGAGAGTAACACAAACTCGTAAGAAAGTGCCCTGCAGAGAAGGAGCAGGACACCTGACACAGCACCGGGGAGAAAACAATTCTAAGCCAAGAGGTAAGGAAATAAAAGCGACAACAGCTTATCAAATAAGCTCTTCCAATTTTCCTGCCATCACTCAGTGGCTGACTCTCACAAACACTTGGTGCACTGATCAACATTTATATTCTGTGGATGTACAGAGCTCGGGAAGTACAACACCTGCATTTAAAATGCAGGCTTGCTTGCATATTTTCGTAAGTATCCTCTCTCATTTTTTTTTAGATTCTTCTTTATCATACTTATAGACAGAAATTGAGACCAAATTAGAAGAGTCTTCCCTGCAGAAAACAGACCTAAAAATGATCTAATATTCTAAGAGATTTCTAAAAACAAGAAATACAGCACAATCAGCTTTATGGCATCTTTAAAAAATGAATTGGTTAATTTTTCTACAAAAACACACCTTAAGTGCAGAGAAAAAACCAAACTGTTTTAAGATAACTTTACAAATAAAATTCAAATGGTTTAAAATTATAATTATATACAGAAGATATCTCTCCAAGTGATTTATGCATGGGATATAAAAATTTTATTCTCTACTTTGCTTATTACTCTGTTCCCATAACTAGGCCTTTTCCTTACAAACAGTCCTAATGATTAATTACTCTGGTCTTTAGTGAGGGGAGCATATTCTTAGGCTCTTGGAGAGAAAAGCACCAATGAAATGCAAAATTAGCTATTGTTAGAAAACTTAACAAATTATAGGATGTGTCATGCCAAAGGGTTACACTTGGGCTGGAGATTAGCAGAGACACACAATAGCCAAACATCTGATTCTTATATCAGCTTCAAAGCTATAATTGACCACAGCCAGTGACCAGTGGGATGATGAAAGATTTGTTTCTAACTCATAATTTTGCTGGACCAAATCTGGTTTTCACAAGTATGGAGAAAAGGAATTGTATGGCTTGGGCACACAACTCAGTCAATCTTCTAGCTTCAACTGTTTTTCCCAAAAAAATATTAAAGCAACTAAAATGCTTTTTAGAAGAAAAAACCCCTCTCTTTTTATCAGTGTTTGATGTAAAGCTCAAATTTTCTGATGAAGGGCTACAGCAAGGAAGAAGAGAGCACACCAAACTGAAGGGGAGGGGAAATAGATAAACACTTTGTGATTATAAATATCTTTTTTGATAGATAGAAGCATCTAAAAAGCCACCATCATCTTTCACTGGTTTGGCTACAGTTCAACTTCCTTACTTTACTTCTCTGCCAATTGGTATTATTCACTTGCTTTTTCAGCTTTATTGTGTTGAAGGTGAGGACCTCAAGTTTCCAAAGGCCTGAAAACCAGGAGTTTTTCCCGTTCCTTTTCTGGCTGTCACTACCAATTCTATCTGTCATTCCACACTGAAGATTTCTGTGCAGTATCTTCAGAAATGAACAGCGGTACCTGTCTTTTCTCTCAACTGGCACTGTTCAATGTCCTTCCTTTCTGCATGGTTACTCAACCCTGTGCGCTTCTTTGCCCATTATTTTATCCCTCTTCTTCCCTGTGATTCCCTGGAGTGGAAATGAAGCAGTCAGCAGCTGCCCAATGAATCCCAGGCCAGATCCCATCGGTGCATCCCTGTCTGCTCTGTGCCACCCAGCAACAAGCAGCAGCCATAGCCCAGCTGCTGTGAAGTGCTGGAGCAAGGCAGGACAGTCAAAGCACTCCCGTGTATTTGGATTTTGTCACCTCTTTTGGTGCTTCCCTTTGCCTCTGTACCCTCCTTGGGGCATGGATCTGCATGGACACATCCAGAACGGGCCATACCCAACATTGCTGTGTTCACTTTGCCCTTGGCCTCAGAGTACCCTGCAATCTATAGGTGAAAGACTGAGGACAATATGCTTTAAAATCAGCAGGATGCCTAAAAAAATCACAGTGAGAAGCTCCTACTGCTCCCCCCACCAAACCTCTAGAGAAAAAGCAACATCATAGAGAAAATCTGATGCACAATTAATACATTTCACACTTCCCGCCTTCTGGGCTCAGCTAAAGCACAAGCCAGAGCCCAATCCCTAAGGACTTAAAAATCCCAAACCAAAGGATTGCACAAAATTACAAAGTGAAAGTGCCCAGACTTTTCATATAAAAGGAGCAGTTATTTTAAAACTTAATGCAAACTCACCCAGAGACTGGAGTACCTATTAATTCTTCCAGCTTCCCCATGCACATTCCCACCTCTTGGGCTTAGCTGATGCACCACCCTGCCCTGCAAAGCAGATTTTGGCACAGAAATACATGCTTTCCTGCATACTTCTTTCAGAGCTTGCCACAGAGCTGACCAATTCTGTCCTTGCAGCATTGAGTGCATCACACAAATATCCCAAACTCAGTGCCCAGCAGCAGTCCCAGCAGAGCTCCTCAGTGCTTCCCCAGCAAAACAGCCTGAAGGACCTGAGAGCCAAGTGCAACCCCAACACAAGACACAGCAGCCATTGTGTGACCTCTTACAGCTTTTCAGAGCAGGAGAAATACAGGGATTGTAGACCAAACTTCACCTAAATACAGAGGAGTCATTTAAAAAACATCTGTTAAAATCTAAGCTTTCTCTACTTCTTAATTTAGACAGATACTTGCATTTAAATACCAGCTCTTGCCCAAACACTTAATTCCTGAAGTGATGGCACCTATATATATATATATATATATATATATATATATATATCTGTACATAAAGTGATAGAACAAGGCAAGTAAGAACTGTGCACTGCCCATATTTATGGGTCTGCAATATCTAACGTCATCCAGATCTCAAATATCTCAAATTCTTTGCCTCCTCCCTCTCCTTTAGTATTCAAATCCCCTGCTCTAAACAAAACAAATTTTCAAAGGCATTGAAATTAATAAAAACACCCACTGAACAATGTGATTCAAATTGACCCATGGCTGAGTAATCCAGCAGATACCTAATACAAATGTGTTTGCTTTCACTAAAAATGTAAGTGCTCTAAACACCAAAAAATACTTTCTTCACATTTCACCATTCATTCCTGTGGAAAGATTGCCAGACTTCTTGAATAGAAACATGAATGCTTTGCTGCTCTCTTGTTATTTCTCTTTAAGTGATATTACTTTCAAGAGAAAGTAATTCAAATAATCTTTTACCTCCCTCTTTATCTATTACATCTTAAGCAAATGTATGTATCTGGAGAAGAATTTATACTCCCACTGCAAGGAATAGCTGGATCCTACTAAGAGTTTATAGAATTTAAGTGTGCAGGATAGATATAAGGTAAATTGCTGTACAAAATGAGCCTGAAAATGGTTGTTAACCCTGAG